TGCAACCAATTGTGTTGTTGGGGGATTTCTTGATTAACATTTGTTTAACAGTGCATGAGTTTTTAAATGCCACATTGACGTTCCAGGTTTTTAGTTGTGAAGGAATGTGTGAGAAATTTTTGTGAAATGGTAATATTAAGATATTCTTATGGTCATGGGTGGGCTTGGGATCAGTTCTATAAAAAGATTTCTTAGTAATGTTCAGGCATTTGTCTATGAAAGATCTAGGGTATTTAAGGTTTGAGCCAATATTATAGATATATTTATATTCCTCATCAATGAATTCCGGGCTGCAAATTCTCAAAGCACATAAAAACATTGTTGAAAATACTGACTGTTTGACTCTATTATGGTGGGCAGAATAATAATGAATGTATGAACACACATTAGTTGGTTTTCTATAAATAGTGAACTTAAAAGTGTTACCTATTCTGTGTATCAGACAGTCTAGGAATGGCAATTTACATTCTTGCCATTCCTAGACTGTGGTAAGATACCCCGCAGAGCCACCAGTTTAGGTGTTAAGTTGGAGGTGATCATGGATATTGAGGATGGTTAAAAAAAAATGACAGCCATTGTAAGAGTTTTAGGATTATCTTTGTCAACCATGGCAACTCTTCAACAAATTAGTGTTACTTTTCTTTACAGTACATTGTTATATGCATATATTGTACTGGGCATGCAAATATTTAAATTGTTGCAAAGTGTCATTTTATTATTATATATTTATTTTTTAATAAATTAATTAATTTATTTATTTATCTTTTAAGTGATGTATCTTTTGATTTATGAAGGTAGTCATTAGGGAGATTATTTAGTTTATGTTTTCAATAAAAATCATCACTGCTGGACTGAAGAAATGTGTTAACAGTGTCTTTTACTATACACTACTATACTGTACTTTATATACAGAATGAAGGAACTATGTCAAACTGTCATGATAAAAGATTTTTTTGCACGTAATAGTTTTCCTTTAGGCTTGCTTTTGTTATATTGTAAACTTATTAAGCACATTGTGTAAGTCTTCATTTCATTGAATGTTTTTCAGTTTGGGTCCATTAGTAAATAAAGTGAAGGAGTTCCATGTATACTCTATCGTGGAGTCGTTATGTGACCACATGGTGAGCGACCGGGAACAGCTGCGAGACATGTCCTCCCTCGCCCTCAAGACGGTTATCAATGAGCTGCCAGCATCATCCACTGCACTGGTGGCCAACATATGCAAGAGAGTGACTGATAGATTATCAGAGGCTATCGTGAGAGTGAGTTTATTGTTCAGTAATTGTCAGAAGGATGGAATGACCAGTCTCCTCCAGTTATAAATATTGTACAGTATACCGTATGTAATAACAGCCTTTCAAATACTGTAATTGTATCTCCTTAGTTATGTATGGGTATTCTCATTTGCAGTTTGTACATAATGACATGGGTAAAGCTTACAATGTACTATTTTGTGTTCCACAGCAAGAAGACGTCAGCGTCCAACTGGAGGCGCTAGACATCTTGGGTGATCTTTTAGCCCGGTTTGGCTCTCTCCTCATCTCCTTCCATCCCAATATATTAGATGCATTACTGCCACAGCTGGCTTCACCACGTCTTGCTGTCAGAAAGCGTACTATTGTAGCCCTCAGCCACTTAGTAGTGTCGTGTTCACCTCAGATATATGCAAGGCTTATGGACTTCCTGATTGAAGAACTAGCCAAGAATTCTTCCATGTCCACAACTAGAACTTACATACAGTGCATTGCTGCAATCAGGTATGAGTTATTTTCTTTGATGACTTTCAGTATTACCTTAACACTAACTGCACCAGTTAAAAATCAACTTAATTATGTTGACTATAATTAATCTTAACTTTGATAAACTGGTAATTTTGTGTTAGTTCAAGAGTGTTTATGAACAACATAAAGTACTTAAGAATCATTGTTTCTCACCCTAAGGATGGTATTACAATATATTTATAATTTATTTGCTTGTACAGTAATTAATTATGGAACCAGGAAGACATTTCTTTTTCAATGTACTGGGGTATTAATGATTGTAGATCAAAGGTCTACAATAAGTACTCTGTACAAGTGATAGTCAGTAAGTTTTGCCTTTTTGGATACAGTCGTCAAGCGGGTCACAGATTTGGTGAATACTTGGAGCGAGTGATGCCTCTGATTGTTCAGTACGTTGCTGTGGATGATGATGAATTAAGAGAATACTGCATATCTGCCTGTGAAGCCTTCACACTGCGCTGCCCAAAGGAGATCACCCACCATTTACCCACTGTAAGTTCAGAGAATTGTTGATGTGTGAGGTCATTTATGGAACAGAAGAATGGTTCAGAAGTAAGGGAAGTGGTATCAACACAGTTGAACTATAGGATAGAGATATAAAGAGTGAAGGAGGTGGAAGGGAGAGATAAAAATCAAAGTAGAAGGATAGTATAAAGGAGGAGGACAATGCCAGTGGTGTTAACATGGAGGAGTACTGTAGTTGAAAATTACAATAATAGGGATGCAGTCAGCTGAACTCAGGGCCACCTTGTTTGTTGGAGCTTCCTTACAGTCTCTCACCATCTCTCTCATTACTTTTTCTCCTTTGCTTTTGACACATCCCAAAGAGGATAATTCTATTGTAACAATATCAGTAGGGTTCCCGCCAATCTGGAGTGTTCCCACCAATTTCGAGCCAATGAAGGCCTTGCCTTGACCAATGAGAGAGCCTATGAGGCATGATGTCATGAAGCTGTTCCTTTGTGCCACGCAGTTTGAAAAGTCTGTCTGTTTTTGGAGAGTTAAGTGTGGTTGTGTGTGGGTGCTATCTCTCCACATGGCGGCTATAATGTAAGTACCTATTAGGTTTTATCCGTTTCACGAAATGTATTGTGATTCGAGTAACCCCCTGGTTGGTTAGCTAGGAAGATAGGTTATTATTTTATTGTACTGTTTACTGCAGGATATCATAATAGGTACTACTTTATAAAACAATTTCCCCCGCATGCTTGTATTTCGGGTGGGAATCGTTTATTAAGCCGTTATTTTGTACTGCTCGAAACCATTTCCTATTTCCATATTTTGTATTTCTAAAAGTTATGTTTCTCTAATTTCTTTACAGAATATTGAACTAAGCTAGTGACTAGTGCTATAATTTTAATGCAGGTTATGTATATGCTGAAAATGAAAGCTATATTCAGTCTTAAATATTGGTGTTGTTTATAAAAAATTCTGCCAATAAGATATACAGCAGTCCTGCATTTCTCATTTTACATTAAATTTTGTGGAACACAGTGCTCTTCTAATGTTGGCTTAGTACATCTGTGGCCAATCGCTCATTACTTTCACCATTAAGTGGCCGACTAGTGTATAAAGGTTGTGGATCCCAGCCCTAAGTAAATGCATAATCAGGCAGCTCATTATTGCCAAGGTTTCCAAACTTTGGTTCTGTTTACTTGAAGTTGCTGCCAGAATGTGTGCAAGTTTTACCATGCTATATTAACTATTTCAATGAATCTTTATAATTTCTTAACACGAGCAATAGAAAATCATCAAGATTTAATTTGACAGTACAGTACTGTGAGTAGTGTGAGTGTGTCATTGTTTTGACAGATTGTAGAAATGTGCCTCAAGTATATTACACATGACCCCAACTATAATTATGATGACTATGAAGATGATGAAGGACAGATGGACATGGATGAAGATGATGATGGTGAAGAAGATGATGAATATTCTGATGATGATGACATGTCTTGGAAGGTGAGACATACTGTTTATATCCTTTGTTACGTTATGAACTTAAAAGTAGAAATATTTATTCATGGGGAGATGAAAATTAATCTAAAATGTGTATGAAACACATCCTCTGGTGAACTTTTACTCCTTTGCTTAGGTACGTCGCTCATCAGCAAAATGTCTGGAAGCTGTGATCTCAACTAGACACGAAATGTTGATTGAATTCTACAAGACAGTGTCCCCACAGCTTATTACCAGGTTTAAAGGTATGTACAGTACCCCTATTTTTGCCATTGGTGAATGAATAGCATAGAGAAATTCATGTATATTCTAGCTTTTAATAAAGGAAATTTTATGAATGAATAGATAAAGAGAGTATGAATGTTTTGTGTGTAGGAGTAATTTTGTTATGTAAATACAGTTTGTACTTGAATATGCAGGCACATACCCATCCTATATATTTGAATTTAATTTAAACTTTGCCATCCTACAGAACGTGAAGAAAATGTGAAGGTTGACATATTCCATGCATATATGGCTCTCCTGCGCCAGACCCGCCCCTCACTCAGCTTAAGCATAGATCCAGATGCCATGGAACAGGAGGAAGGCACAATCTCTATGTTAAAACAGCAAGTGAGTTTTTCTTTACTGTGTCTCTGCTTGTCTTAATTATTCTTTTACTTTGGGTTCAAGCACGTGTAAGAAAAACACTGTACTGAAATATATAACCGTGTAAATGTGAATAAGGAAATTGTGTAAAATGAAAGAATCCATATCTATAAAGAGGTAAGTCCTTCTCAATCATTTTGGGATAAAGTATCCATAAGTTTGCTAATTTTTATATTTTACTTCTCTGTGGAGTGCGGTTTAGAAATAGTTTAATGGTGTTAAAAAAAATTCTGAGGGCAATGTACATTTTGTTTGAATATAAGTAAATACAAAATACTGTACTGTATTTGCCAGGTATGATTTTAGTGTGATGGTCTGTGTTGATATGGAGTTTATTATCTATAGTTTTATAGTAAACCATTTTTAAATAGAAAACTCTTTTTAATTGAATATGGCATCACATGTCTAACTGTTACAGTGCCAGATATCTAAAACCAAATCATTCAATGTTGCAGGTGCCTGCACTAGTAAAATCAGTACACAGACAGATGAAGGAGAAGAGTATAAAGACTCGCCAGGGATGTTTTGCACTGTTGACTGAACTAGTGCAAGTATACCCAGGTGCTCTAACCCACCACATCCCTGCACTGATTCCTGGTATTCAGTTTTCTCTTGGGTAAGTGGACTTGAGGACAAGATATTTTGATACTTTGTAGGAATCACAGAGGGTTGATAATTATGTTTCTCAGTTTATCTGGAAAATGTGAGTGGGTTTCTTCCATTGTTAATCATAGTTAGTTTGTTTATATTCATGTTAGTGGATCCCTCAAGAGTTAATAGTAGGACTCCACATTACCCAGAATTTATCTACCATGTTTGTGAACTCTGGCTTTATTATTCATGACTTCTGAAAATGTATTAAGCTAACATTTTTGTCTTACAGTGATAAGAACAGTAGCAGCAACATGAAGATTGACACACTGGCATTTGTCCACTGCCTCCTGATCCACCACAGTGGGGAAGTGTTCCACCCTCACATTGGTGAACTCCTCCCTCCGGTGGTGACATGCGTAGCAGACCCATTTTATAAGATCACAGCCGAGGCCTTACTTGTGCTACAGCAGATTGTCAAGGTCATCAGACCCCTTGGTATGTCATCTAATAGAGGTTGACCTCACTATTAAGAAAACTTAATGCAAGGTTTTGAACCTTGCCAAACTTAATCATACCTATTCACAAAAATCTGCATACTTATGGTGTCCTAAGCAGTCATCACAAATTTTGTAAGATACTTGGTTTCTAGTTTTTAAAAGTGAACAAGACTTAGTAGATATGTTATTTGCTTAGATTTAGTATCTTGATACGAAGAGATACATTTTATTCTTAGGTTATAGATGAAGAATATCACATGTATTCTCTTTTAAATTGTTTGAGTTACCTCATCTTATTTATATAAGTGTTGGAGGTGTTTTGAAAGCATTAATGTTAAAATATTTGTTTTGCTTCTAGACTTGGCGTCTTCCTTTGACTTTACTCCCTATACGGGTGACCTTTATCACTGTACACTGGCGAGATTAAGGGCCGCTGATCTTGACCAAGAAGTGAAGGAACGAGCCATTGCTTGTATGGGACAGATCATCTCACATCTTGGTGATCATCTACAGGTAATTCCTACTACAATATAATGGGTTTCTTATGATGGACATGATGATAATGATAACAGCAAGCACCTGTAAAAGACATGTTGTATTTGTGTACTGTATTGCAGCTTTGATCAGTCATTGCACCTGTTTGTTTTGTAAAAACTGATGGTATTCAACTTGACACTTGAGTATTGTGCATTGTCAATTTGTCAGTCACAAAGAATCTTGTTGAATTCTATACTCATTGAGGATCTACTTGGTTTCTGAAAATTATACTGCCTATTAATAGCCCCTGTGGGTTTTGGAGTCTGTTTACAGTCTTGCTTTAGGTTGTATATGGAAAAGACTGGTAATATACCTATATATACAGTATAATACCATTGAAATTACTTATGTCTTTATCATTTAATTTTTTTATGCAATTAAAACAAAGTAACTTGTAGTCATTCCTAAACATAGACAGTCTACATATCTTCAATGCATGGTTTTGAGTGTATGATTTATAGCATGAATATATCAGAGGAGCACAAACAGTGTTTGATCTACACAGTGCTAATTAGTGTGGATTTGTCTTCCTCAGGGAGAACTTGGGACTTGTTTGCCCATTTTCTTGGACCGACTACGAAATGAGATCACTCGTCTTACTACTGTTAAGGCCCTCACTAAGGTGGCAGCTTCACCACTTAGAATTGATCTGCGACCCATTCTGGGAGATGCCCTGCCAGTATTAGCTTCATTCTTGCGTAAGAATCAGAGAGCACTGAAGTTGGCGACTTTGACTCTCCTTGATACTCTAGTGACCAACTATTCCACAGCGCTCAGTCCTCAGATGCTTGATAAGGTAATTAGGGATTAGTACTTTATATATGAACAGTGAAACCCAGGAGGTGGTTAAAGGCTTCAAATAGTTGGGATTGTTTGTGTAAGTTTTGGGTTGTTGGCTAATTCCTAAAGAGAATTAACTCCAGTTCAAATTAATTTTAGTTTATTCTAATTTTCTTTCTCATGTAATTATTTTGTGTATTTGGTAACTACTGCTTATGCAGCAATATATTTTTATTTAAAGTTTTTAGTACAGAATATCACTTACTGTTATTGTTTGAGAACTTGGTCAATTATTGGACTACCTGTGTTAATCTTTCACCAACTTGTGCAGGTCTTGGTTGAGCTGCCACCATTAATCAACGAATCTGATCTTCACATCGCTCAACTGTGCCTCACCCTCCTCACCTCCACAGCTAAACTTCACAAATCTTCCCTTGCTAACTTCCTGCAACTCATTATGCCTGATGTTATGGCTCTTGTCAGATCTCCTCTACTACAAGGTAAGTGATAGTAGATATTAACCATCCCATTGCTATTACCATGTGAGACTGTGGCTGGTAAGAATACTAACAGTGTAACCACACATCAGTCATCATGTGTGTGGGTGAAAGAGATGTAGGCAGTTACATTAGCATCACTCAGTAACATGGATTAGGGACTGATAGCTGTACATGTGTCAACAATTCCTGCATTAATGCTTATAGTTTCAATGAGAAATCCAGAAGTAAATAAAATTTTGTCTTGGTAGACCATAGGGCTTGTAGGGTTACTGTAAATATTTGGGGTCTCTGTCAAGGTGGTTGACATATATTATTTATATTGCATATAGAGCACATGTTTTGGTAGTGACTCGAGATTTTGTTTGATAAGACATGCATCCAAAAACCACTTGTGCTAATTTAACTTTTGGCAGTACCAAAAATAATGTGGGAGTCTTGCAGGAATTCATCCATTGTAAATCTCGGTAAATGTATTAAATCAAATGCTGTCATTTGATTACAGAACCTTGGAAAACAGAAAGCATGTTAAATGATGCAAATTGGCACAAGTAATAAATTATTACTGCTAAGAATTTCAGTACGTATATATCTCAAATGGTGAAGCAGCTTTTTAATGAATGCAGGTTTTGTTGAAATGTACATAACCTTGTTTTCTCTCCTATATTTATACTTTACTGTGTTTGTTTCAGGTGGAGCATTGAAGGCTATGCAAGATCTGTTCGAGGCAGTAGTACGTGCTGGTCTCCCAGGTCTTGGCTATCAGGACATCCTCAACCATCTCCTTGCACCTCTCGTCTCACCTCAGGCTGCTAACATACACAAACAAGTAAGTGATTTACAACCAGTTACTAGTACTGCACGAGTGCTCCTCTACTCACAAACGAGTTACATTTCTGAGGCTTGTTTGTAAGTCCAACTTTACTCTTGTAGATACCAAACATATTGTAAAAAATCAAAAGATTATGGTTATTTAGTACAGCTATACCCTTTAATACAGCCTTAAAACCTGGCTTACTCTTCTCCTCTTAGATAATGTTTGTTCTATCTGGAATTTTCTTCAAAATAATTCAGTCTCATCCACATTAAACACCTGTTCTGGTAGGTAACCCCCCTCAGTGATGGTGTTTGTATCTCTGAAAGTTTGTAAGTTGAACGTGCTTAAGTAGAGGAGCACCTGTAGTACTAGGAATTCTTGAACCATCTTTTTACTTATCATTTTACCTTAGACACTGAACTTAAAAATACAGGGAAGGACATTCAATGGAATTTCAAAGTCAGGACACCTTATAAAAGTGGATAATTAGGAATGCTCTCACTTATTTTAGTACCAAATGTGACATAATTCATAAAGTTAGCAGTTAAATGGTAATATGTTAGTAGTTTAATTGACATTGCAGGCCCATAGCCAGGTGGACAGTTCATTCAAGTTTAAATTTTTGTTGTAGTCAATTATTGTTTGACTAATTATTCACAATTTATCTCATCAGGCATATCACTCAATGGCCAAGTGTGTCGCAGCTCTAACTCTGACGCACCCTGGTGAAGCAGTTGGCGTGGTTGATCGGTTCCTCATGGATGTGACAAATCCACGCTCACCAACAGTCCAGTCATTCTCCCTTCTTGCCATTGGAGAAATTGGAAAACACATGTAAGTCAGAGTTTGGGAGGAGGGATGTTCATCTCTTCAGAAGGTATTTGCCTTTTAGAGTGTAGCGTTGTTATGTGGGTATATACTATACTGTATTGTTTTCCTTGCCGGTGACCAGACTAGTGCTTATGTCATCAGGTTGTGCTCTCTATCCAACTAACTTTGTCAAAGTTCTAGTAAAATGAAGTTATTATTGTCTCCTTCCTGGAAGGAGACTTGTTGCTGTGCTGTCCATTATATCTCTCAATATTTTAGTCACCTGAGTATCTAAAACTTTTATTGAAGAAAACAATGGTTTATTTGGATTGACTGACTATATTGCTCCAGCTATAAAATATTTATTGCCATGTTCTATTTATAAATGATTTAAATAAAATATTTGCACTGACAAAGGAATCCATATATTTTCTACCATCTTGTTCTTTCACTAAAGAATAATAAAAAAATATATACGTACTGTATTTATTAATTAGTGAAGATCACTTAAACAATGTTTTTATATTCCAGAAAGATTAGGGCAATTTAAAAATCGTATAAGTAAAAAATAGTACTGGTATAGAAAATAGATACTAATATTTATTGCAGGGATAATATGAATTGTAAAATTGTTAAGACGACATAAGAGGGTGTATTTATACAATTATTTTCATAAAAATTACATCAGTGGGAGAAGAAGCACTCCTTCACTTTTGCCTTCAGGGATTTAAAATTAACCAGTATTTTTTTTATACAAGGTCTTTAACCCTTTTACCGCTGGCCGTGTCCCCCCACGCGGGGGTAAATCGAGAAAAATCAAAACTTTTCAAAAATAAATTTTAACCTTTTTAAATAATTAAAAATAAAAAAGAAGTAAGAAAAACTATATATTGACCATCTAGAAACTTCCCTGTGGCAGCAGTGGCGAGGGAGATAAAGTGAGTGTTGTTTTGACAGCTGATGCTCGTGGTCGCTACACACTTAACGGCCATTTACTGCTTGCCTTTGTGTCCGGGATGGCCAGTAATGCATATATTTACTGATCATAATACTTATTTCCTATAAATAAATAATTTAGAATATTTTATTTGCATTATTTTTCATAAGAAGTGCAATCGGTCGCCAGGCTGTCTGGCTATCTTTGTGTTTGGTTGAGCAAGTAATGCATAAAATAATAATAATTCCCCAAATATATACATTTATAACATAATCTTAGCATTATTTTCCAGTAATACTACACTACAACTACACTACTTTTAGCAATATTACTTTGATACAACATGATAAAATATACAAGCAATGAAAATGAAACAAACAAAAGTAATTATGTTCAGGAAGCTTCCCTGTGGCCGAGCGAGTGGTGTGATGGGCAAATAGTCACACTGGAACCTGATAACCCACTCTGGGCATTTAAACAGTGGCGGGAAAAGGCGCGCATTCTGGAACGTCACCCGGGGTGCCGGTCGTGCGTTCTGGTACATCACCCGAGGCGTAAGGGTTAAGAAATGACAATTTATCTCTACAAAAAATCTAAAGAAACATTTCTTGTCTTGCAGTGATCTCAGCAGTATCCCTCAACTAAAGGATGCAGTGGTGGCTTCATTCAGCTCTCCATCGGAGGAAGTAAAATCTGCTGCTTCATATGCCCTCGGTCACCTGAGTTGTGGGAACCTGCAGGAATATCTGCCTTTTGTCTTATCAGAAATAGAAGCTAACCCTAAAAGACAGTATCTACTTTTACATTCTTTAAAAGAGGTAAGTGATACAACTGCCGGGCTTCAGAAATATTGCTGCCAGTGTGCATAGATATTTAGACATTTAAATGTGTGAAGTGATAAGTTTTGCCCATTATAAGTTTCAAATGTTAACTAGCTTTAAAAAGGTAAAAAAAAAATTATTAAATGCTTATAAGACTCCTGCTCAGATGGCCACAATGTGTCTTTCTGTGCATGTTGTCTGTCTGTCTTACACTGCATTCAACATATATATTAAGAATTTCTTCACTAAACAGAAAAGATTAGATGATTCTAGTGGTAGGGCTGAGAGAAACGACATCAGTCTCTGGTGTGAATGACAGTGAGTGTTCAGGCTGGGCAGGTTCATTACTATTGATTGTTCTGTTAGGGATAATTTTAAGGTCTTTCTTTTTATTTGTGGTTGCAGTGTTTTTAACCTTATCATAATTTTAAATCAAAACTGTTTGGTTCTGTCAAGTCTGTAGATATCATTTGTATTTGATATATGGCCTCATTCCATATTATTGTACTTGTACAGTGGTCCCTGAGTTAACGAGCACAATCCGTTCTAGAAGGTTGCTCGTTAACCGAAAAACTCGTTAAACGAAACCATTGTTTCAATGGGTTTTGGGGTAATTGGTTCCAGCTCACCGAAAATTGCCTAAATTCAACAAAAAAGGTAGAAAAGTACACTTACTTTGAGGTGTGTATGTAGAAGGCTCCTGGATGATGATGATGATGATGGGAATTAGAATGGGGGTGGAGGAGAAGAGAAGGCATTGGGGTGGAAGAGAAGTCACCCCATGGTGCCATTTCACCCATAAAATTTTAGTTCTCTTGGTGTAATTCAAGAGTATGTTCTTTAAATCAACACTGTACTGCATTATATATTGTCAATATGTAAAATAAATTTCAAAATGACCAATAATTTACTTGCAAGCACAGAAAAAAAGCATTTAGTTGAAGAGAGTCTCAAGCAAGATGTTACCTCCACTGAAAAGACACAAAGACTGACGCCTGTATGGTGTGTTGGCAGGCTGGATGGCATGTTCAATAATTGTTAAAATTACTAACAAATTTAATGTTAAACTTTTAAAATTATTGAATAGTATAAACTTCTTGATATTTACTAAAATGGTAAGGAATTTAAACCCTAGAACCAATTACTGTACTGGCGGACTAATACTACAGCTGGTGGACCGCCAAATGCAAGCGAAAACATGTTCAGGTTAGCTCGTAAGAAACTCAATAATCGAGGGATTGCTCGTTAACCGAAGTTAAGAATCTTATGGAAGGTAACTCGTTAACCGAGGCGCTTGTTAACTGAGGGGCCACTGTATGTGCTTGGGCCAGTTCTATTGATGGCTTACCTACTGAGAACACTGAGGTAATCTCTTCCCATTTATTTTTTAAACCAAATATCCTTTCAGTGTATGACAGTATTACCTGCCACAAATGTTTTAGAAGTTTGTGGCTAATTGGAGAACATTTGTTGCAGATTATCAGCCTACAGAGCAGGAGTGTGGAGGGTGTCAAAGTCCTCCAGGGTTTTGTGAGCGACATATGGACACAGCTCTTCCGACACACAGAATGCATTGAAGAGGGAACTCGTAATGTTGTTGCGGAATGTTTAGGGAAATTAACGCTCATTAATCCTTCTGCTCTCCTACCTAAGCTGCAAGAATCCCTAAAAACAGACTCGCCAATGATGAGAACCACAATTGTCACCGCCATTAAGTTTACTATATCAGATCAGGTAAGGATTTCTTGGAGTGTTACCTCTGCCCTGTTAATGCATCTCACGTTTTTTTTTTTGGTTTAGCGGTTTTGTGTGGGTGTATATAGAAATTATTCAGTCGATTTATGTATGCATATATTGATTTTTTTTATTATGATCAAGTTTTAGTAGCTTCATGGGCTTTTGTTTATGTCCCGATAGAACAGAGGGGAATGGTGTTGTCTATATGGCTGTTTAAGTTTGTAAGGTTTGTTTTGATTTCTTCACTGTGGGCATATTTACTCAAGCCCTTAGTGCTCCTTTTCAGTGATTTTTGCTCACTATTTGTTCTGCAGTGATGTCTTAATTGTCATTATCAGTGCAAGCATTGAGTTCTGTAGTCTTATTCACATATATATGTGAAGACAAACTTCTTTGTCCTTTGACAACACAAGTGGATGAAAGACTTTGAGAAAGCCTGACAAAATTTGAAAGGTAAAAAAAAATGTATTGGAAACATGTGAGAAGGTTGAGAGAACAAATGAGGCGCCTAGAATGGGAGCGTCTTAAGCGCCAAAATTACAATTTGGAGATATGGCCATAGACGTGTTCACTGGCCTTTGTTCTACATGATCAAGCCTGACTGAGTGTTGCTTATGCTACCGCAAAGTTGAGAATTCCATTGGAAGAGCACATCACACATAACTAATACCGGTATACCCATTTTTTTTTTCTTTTTGGGGTGGGGGGCGGTGGGCAATTGGGGATGTGGCAACATCACTTATACGGTCCAACTTTTGTGGAAAGTTTCATTGAAATCCGTGCAGTAGTTTCCATGGTACATAAGCATGAAACTTTAAATGCGATTTACTCAAAACAGGCATTTTGGAGATACGCCATTCCAATTCTAGGCGCCTCAAATGTTATTTGTAATAATTAGAAATTAAAATAGGAATATATTGTAGGGAGACAGAAAGGAATGAAGTGTAAAGAGGAAAACTATTTAGTAGTAACACAATCAGTAAGTAAACTTAAGAATTGTCAGTGGTCTCATTTGGGTCTCTGTCTTGAGACCTGTATTTTAATGGGAGAAGACCTGGGGTTGTGATACTTTACTAATGCATCAATTTTATTTTTGCTTTCAGCCAACAGCAATTGACAGCTTACTCCGACATTGTATTGGTGACTTCTTGTCAACGCTGCAGGATCCAGATCTCAATGTTCGACGTGTAGCTCTCGTGGCATTCAATTCAGCAGCCCACAACAAACCGTCTCTTGTGCGTGATCTTCTTGATACCATTCTTATACAACTCTACAATGAAACTAAAGTTAGAGTAAGTATGTAAAGGTGGTGTTTTCTCAGCTATACTCTTATGGGAAAGAATGAATGTACAGTGGGGTATGCTATAACGAATCTAATTGGTTCTAGAACCTTGTTCGTTATAGCATTCGTTCGTTATAGGATTACTGTAATCCGTTCCAGGCCCCCAAATACAGCCACTTAACACTGAAAAATATAATATAAAATTGTAAAAAAGTGCATAAATATGCATCTAAACCCCTGAAATAAAGAATATCATTAATACTTGTAATAAAAAACAATAAATTAGTAAAAAAAAAAATTTTGTTTAAAATAATGTTCGTTGTAGGAGATTTGTTCGTTATAGCATTCTCAATTTTATAGGTAAAACCGTTCGTTATAGGAATATTCGTAGTAGGATCCGTTCGTTATAGCATACCCCACTGTATTGGATATAGGACTGTCATAAATGAGAATTTTGATTCTCTCTTCTGTGATAAGCAATAGAGAATAAGATAATTTTGTGTACTTTTATGAGATTTGGTAGTTTTCTCCATCACACTTGGCTGAGAATGGAATTAAAATAGAATTAATTTTGGGGGGTGTTATATACAGTATATGATCATCAGTCATCATGTAGTAGACATTCCTGTCATCATAATATTAACTTAAGTTATAGAACAGGCAATAAATCTTATGCACAACAAATATTAATCCTATACTTGTGTTTCCCAGAGTCTAATTATGTCTTTATTAAATAGTTTTTGTTTTACCTGAGAAATGCTGGAGTTAGTGTAAACAAAAATGTTTTAAATTGTTTTCCTTTTCTCACTAACAGAAAGAACTTATACGAGAAGTAGAAATGGGTCCATTTAAACACACTGTTGATGATGGCCTAGATATTCGTAAAGCAGCATTTGAGTGCATGTACACTCTTCTTGAAACTTGCTTAGATCGTGTCGATATATACGTCTTCTTGGAACACGTGGAGGGAGGTCTACGGGATCACTATGACATCAAGATGCTCACTTACCTGATGCTCACCCGACTGGCTCACTTATGTCCTCAGGCTGTGCTACAAAGGTTAGTATTTTTTTTTTTTTTTTTTTACTATTTTATTTACGTATAGTTTAGTGTGCTGTAGGCAAGATCTCTTATGTTAACCACCTGAGAAACAACGTTTTAATAGATTTATTATTATTTTTTTTTTTTGCCCATTTCTGATCTTGGAAGATGTGAGGTAGTAAGTATATAAGAGGAGGATTGGCATAGGTTACCATGTTTCAAAAACAAACAAACTTGATGGAAAAAGTGCCAGAAAAACATACCCCAATTTAGATGGACAGACTGATGGACATATGAAATATGAAGCCAAAAAGCTGATGACAATTGTGGCTTACTATAAGTACAGGGTATACACTATCAGCTGCTGCTAAGGCAACCAGGACACCATGTCATCAGGTAATCACAGCTAACTCACTCAAGTGTGGAAATTGTCTGTAAAACATTGATGATGGTGATGATTTGTGAATGCTCACAATATTTTGCTTTCAGACTTGAGAGACTAGTGGAGCCACTGCGCACAACTGTAACAACCAAGGTCAAAGCCAACTCAGTCAAACAGGAGTATGAGAAGCAGGACGAACTTAAACGGTCTGCCATGAGGGCAGTAGCGGCTCTCCTAACCATCCCAGATGCTGACAAGAACCCCCAGTTATCAGAATTTGTTGCTCATATCAAATCTACCCCAGAACTCCAATCTCTGTTTGAGTCGATTCAGCGTGATGCGTGCCCTACACACGATGCTATGATGGATTTGAGTTGAATGACGCTAAAGCTTGCATAAGGTGTTATTGATGGTGGATCAAACTCCGTTGAATTCAAATATGCATACAGAGTTACTCATACTGGATTTGAACTTGAATGGGAAACTGTATGCATGTTATAAAAATGGATCCAATTTGAGTGAAACAATGTGCATATATGCAGTATGGTGTCCATGGTCGAAATGATGTTAATCTTGTGTTGTTTATAGTGGATCCATGTTGAATGAGGCAGAGTAAAGTTATATTAATGAATATAGACGAAGCAATTGTGCAGTATGCTGCACAGTTTCTTCTAGTGATAAATTTACCTGGACTAATTCAGGAAACATTGTTTTGTTGAAAGTTGAATAGATTGAAATGCTGCAGAAGTCCGAATTTGTTGTTAAGGCCATTTGGCAACTTCAGTATTCACCACCTACTGTCTTCATTTATTTAAAAATCTTCCCGGTGAATCCTTAGTTCCGGCCTTGACAAAAAATAAAGACTGAATAAGTGAAACAGGAAAGTAGTAGCAAGAATTAGTTAAATTATGTACAGTCTGACAGCTTCAGTACTGACATGAAATCCTCTCTGTGAAGTATTTATCTATTGGGCCCTTCGGAGATGAGCTTTCCTAGGTACCACCTTGGGTGCAGATTTGCTGATTGTACAGCAAATAAGCTCTTCAAAAAGCACCAAGAAGCCTGTGATGACCCCCAGCTTGCTGTGTGCTAGAATGCATCTGTAGCCTTTTTATTAATCCACGTTTTTTCCTACTTTATCTTGGTTTATAGCCGGAATTCGAGAGATTTTGTGGCAACGATGGTTCTGATTTACTCATAAAAATGCTCCAGATCAAGAAATTTGATCAGGTAAATTTTTTTTAAAGATTAAAGGAAAAAAGTGATGCCATTGGCATATATTGAGATACTGGGCATTACTTTTAATAAAAATGGTATGTAATTGGGGTATGATAGTGGCTACTTACTGTCATGTACAGTGTGTTGTGCTTATTGATCTTATCCCAATTACTATGGTCAAACTCTTGTAACAGTGTGGAAAAATATTTCTGGTGTTTTATTCTAATTATTTATCCTTCTCAATTCATTTTTTTTCCAAAGGTTGACATCTTAATCCTCAAAGTATCTCAGACCTTAATTTCCCATCCAGTTTCTCTGTTTGATGTTGGTAATTGGTCTGTTTATATCTACATTTATTACTTGTAATATAGTATGAACTTTCTTAATTTGTTTTATTTCTGGTTCTGTGTTGACCTACAGATTGATCCCTCCAATTGAAATGCAAAATGTATTCATGACTTCATTGTAAAACTGTTAAATCTTCTGAATTACAAGAAATTTTGCCTAAATGCAATTGTTGCATTCAGAATAATTGCTCAAGCACATACTCTGTGTAACTCCTGTCATATTAAATTTATTTGTGCACACACACACATATACACATGCACATGCACATACACCTCAACATTTTTTATTTTGCTATTGCCTCCAGATTTATGTTATTATTTCTCTTAACTCTTTCTGTCCTAACAGCACTGCCTCAGTATTCAATCCTCTGATTCACGAGTTACAAACTAATATATTTTTCTTCCTTTCGATTTCATAATTCTGCACACTCCTGTTCCTGTATCTACCTCACGAAAATAATCCATCTAAGAAATTATGACCATTCTCTAAAGTGTGATACACCTCTTACCTCTGTAATTTGTGGAGTGACCCTCCAATTTTCCTTTCGTATGATTCAATCTTCATTCTATTTCAACCATGTTTTCAACTCATTTCCAGCCATCAAAAGTCTCTCTTAACTGCACTGTCAATAAAGCTGAACAATTATTGTAGCGTAATCTATCCTTTTCTAAGTATAACTTTTGCCTGAAACTAATAAATGTTTTTTCAAGTCCTTCAATTTTTTCACAAAGAATTTTCATTGTTGATAACTTTTCTACACCCCCTTAGAACTTCAGAACACTATAATTTTCCTACTATGTAATTTTATATAATTTTTAGTCAATGGTGAATGCAATTATTATTCAACTCATTTTAATACAGTACAGTATTTTTAAACTACAGAGCTGTATGTGTAGTAGGTTATATTAGTGATTTAAAATTAAAAGCTGTTGATATAAACAAAAAGCAAAATACAGTAGTAACTTTCTATGTAGGTTATAGAATTTACCAAATAACAAGTGTGAGAAGTTTATACCTAGTGTGTGTAAGCTGTATATACTGTATTTAATTTATTTTGAAGTGAATATGAGCTTCAGTAAGTAGAGAAAGATATCCATGTTCCTGAAAGTATGATGAGGTGCTTGTTGCAGTCCTTCAGAATTATACTGATAAGGTGAGACTGATGGCAGTAGAGAAGTATTTGTGAAGAATTATGGGAATTAAGAGGAGTGATTAAGTAAACAAGGTAAACAAAAAATACATGTAAAGATCATGAAAAGATAATATATATTGATTTGGATGTGTGATATTTTGGGATGAATACACTTTTATAGAATTTGAAATTAACACTTTCAACCACCACCTGAAAACAAAATAAATTTATCCAAAAAAATTTGGAGAATTAATTAAAAAAATCCCATTTTTTTATCCCAGGTCTTTTGTGTGCTGAGGAGTACAGTACTGTACTAATGTGTCAAGGATCAACTGCAGTAAAACCTGCTTAATCCAGACTAATCATATTAATAAAAAATCTGGATAAAACTATGTCTGATTAACTGAGAAAAATCTGGATGGCTGTCTGTCGCACATAAATGCCAGACGCTTTGTTTACAAGCCAGTTGCACGGCTGCAACCCACGTGTGCATCTCCTGGCTCCCACAGATTATTGTGACTGTGTAGACTAATTACCATGGCTTCTAAAGGCAAAACAACTTCAAATTGAAATCAGAAGAGGGCCAGAAATGAGTTTAGCCTGAAGGACAAGCTAGCATTTCTGGAAGATAATAAGAAAGGTGTGTCATTGGCCAAAGGTATTGAGGCCACAGACTCTCCTGAAAATTATAGACCAGTAGTTTTATGAAGGCATCAGAATATGCAAGGTGGAACTCAACAAGTGCATGAATAAACAACAGCAAAAGAAGATTGGCAGTTATTTCTCTTCTTTGTCTTCAGTCAAGAGACAGAGGGTCACCTATGGAAGTTTTAATGAGATAGAGAGTGAATCATGCATTTCTGTACCTTCCTGCAGCTGGCAAAGCCTCTACACCATATGGGTCAGACGTCTTTTTTTCGTGCCTACACCAGTCATCATCCCTGAGCTTCCATTAGTGATGATGGACGGAGGAAGAGGACAGTGATTAACTGCATTTCAGTGCTGTGTAATGTAAAGAAACAAGTAGTGTTACATTCACTATCGTGTCATGAAATTTGGTGAAAACATATGCCGAAGGGCTAAACTTTTGGTGCGCTCTACCTTGTGGTAGGGGCTCTCAAAATGTTTCACAAGTTACATTGACACGACTTTTGTGTTTGATTGTACACTGCTCTACTCTTCATGTGACACCTGGAGACAGACTGGTGGAGAGGGGCGGTATCCAGCATGATACAAACAATTGTATCCAAATTTCAGCTCTCCAGCTGTGTCAGTGTCAGAACTAACAATAAAAAGCACCTTTCAAATCCTTAACTCAATCCCCCACATTTTGGAAAAGGCCGACACCCTCCAGTGACTTCCTTGGGAGAAACCCAAATATACAGTAGGTGATATTCTTAATTATCCTGAAAAGATTACAGTTCCACATGTGCAGTTAACCTTTTAGATCCAGGATTAAGCACTGGCTCAAAGACAGGCAACAAAGAATGGCCCTAAACACAGTACGTAAATTCAGAATGGAAATAGGTTCTCAATGGAGTACCCCAAGGGTCTATCCTGAATTCATCCTTTTTGTGTGATAGTGAAGAAAGTATGTCGAGCAACATTATCAAATTTGCTGACAACACAAAGATATTTGGGAAGGTGGCAAGTCAAGATATCACAGCCATGCAAAAAATATATATAGTATGCACAAGCTGTTCAAATGGTTGCAGGAATGGCAAATGCTTTTTAACACTGCAAAATGCAAGACACCACATGAGATACCACAACCCTAATAACAACTATTCTGTGAATAACACTTTCTAGGATGCTGTTGAGAAGGAAAAAGTGTTGTGATAGATCAATCACTGCAGGTAGCACAACCAATAGGAGCAGCAGTGAAACCCCCCCCCCAGCAATTTTTTTTTTTTTTAGAAATTGTGAAGCGTACCTTCATAATAAAGTACTGTACATAGATAAGAAAAGGTTCCTTCAACTTTATAAGCATCTCATAAGTTCCTACCTGGATCACTGTCATGGAGACCATACCTCCAGAAAAATATACATCCCTAGAAAAGGTGTAAATAGTTACAGTACATAATTTTACAATGGATGCAATCGAGAGCAATGTCAAACATACTGTCTCCATTTGTACCAAAGGCTTTGTATAGTGTGCTACAACCACACTGTCCCTAGGCGTTTATACCACGCCTGAAAACTATTTGATAACCGTTGGGTAGTCTGTTTTTTATTTTTTATTTTGAAGACCTTCATTGTCCAGTGATTCAACCTAGGACACTTTTCCAGGTTGTAAACTTGAATACCCATTTACACCTGGATAAACTCAATACTATTTATGCACGTACCTCTACACAAAATAATAGTTTATACAATGGACAGTAATAACTAAGAAGATTAACCAGTATTATGAATCATTTACACTGTATTGAAAGTGAATACAATAAGCCAAGAGTTTATTACAACATGTGAACAGTTTATACAATAAATGATTAGCTTATGCAGTGAGTTCTGCTATAACGCGTGTTTTGATAACGCGAATTTGCTCTAACGCGATTTATGAATTAGGAACGATATTTGTATAACGCGAACGCTTGTCTGCTATAACGCGATTTTTGCTTACTATTTCTCCAATTTTGTGGTACAGTGGGGTATGCTATAACGAATCTAATTGGTTCTAGAACCTTGTTCGTTATAGCATTCATTCGTTATAGGATTAATCCGTTCCAGGCCCCCAAATACAACCACTGAATACTGAAAAATATAATATAAAATTGTAAAAATTGTAAAAAAGTGCATAAATATGCATCTAAACCCCTGAAATAAAGAATATCATTAATATTTGTAATAAAAAAACAATAAATTAGAAAAAAAAAAAAAATTAAATAATGTGAATATAGTAAAGAAGAATATCAACAAGAAGCGTTCTGGTGATAGAATTCCCGGTGATGATCGTAAAAGAAAGGATATAACACTTGAAGAGAAGCTCGATTTTATCAACCTCAAAATCACCCTTCTCCCCCATCAAGTAAAGTGTAACATTTACTGTATGATTTCATTATTAGATATGAATGTAACATTTATTTAGACTGTGCTATCCTTTGTGTTAGGCTAACTACTAAATTTTTTCGATTTCGAGTAATCTGCACCTAACCCTATTTTCTCCATAAGCCCTGTTATTTCTATGACGCGATTTTCTATAACACGATATTTTACAAGAACACAATTATCGCGTTATAGCAGAACTACCTGTACACTAACTGAACATTTATACAATAACTGAAAATTGTATACATACCTGAACCATTAATACAATAATTGAAGAATTTACAAAACTAGACAATCTAAACAATAACGCAAAAGAATTACTGAAATTAATACAATACTGTACTGTACTTGGCAGTGTGTTGTAACGAGTGGACATAACTGTTTTACACCGCAACACTCGTCTCCTCCATCACTGCTGGTAAATACGCCATTCCTCTCCAAGCTTTCCCTTTGCTTCACAAACGACTTTCTGCCCTGAAACTTTAACCATCTTTAGTATATAATAGTTGTTAGGTTATGTAAGTACCTACGTTAGAGTACACATAAACAACAACTGATACTCCTACTTCCTTCTATGGCAACCTAAAGTGTGTGGCCTTCTACTGCACCTGTGTCACCACTCACCATGGCGATTCTACTTTATTTAATCTACTATTCATACTACTTAACTTCCTCACCTCCATCCAACTGTCCTTTAGATTCAAGAGTCGTACATTAATTATCTTAACTTTTATCCAGTTTACTTCACCAAATACGCTTCTTGTTCCTAACTCCTTGGGTGTACCATGTATAATGTATATATGTTGGGTTCAAAGAGCGAAAACTAATCAGAACGCGTTGTGGTTTGGAAAATAACGAAAGCGAAATTTTGCTACAGGTTAGGTTAGGCTTTCTGGTTCTTTTTAAAGCATCCACAACGAATTGTGGCAATTTGTGGTCGTTTTCGCTCTATGAGCCCAACATCAAACGTCATCTGACAAGCTTCCTCCACTCTCCCAAACCTCCCATGCATTTTACATGATGCACCCTGATGCTTAGCGATGACCTTATAATAACTCAACTGCCTATTCCGCCAAGACATGTACTTTTTTTTTATGAATCCCCACAATCCTGTTGGCTTCATTTCTGCCTATCTTGCTTTGGATTGACCGGTAAGTAAATTTGACACGGACGGATAACAAACATCAGCAACATTCTTTTCATCGAATTTTAGTCGAGGGGATAAAAATCTTTACCCAAGGTCACTGACTGCGTTAATTACAACATATAGTTATTACCTGCTTCTATGAATTTCGTTATTTGAATAACTTTTGTAACAATTCGCTGGGTAATACTGGAGACCTCTTACTCAACCTTACTGGCAAATGTGTTCCAAGTTTCTTAATGACACTTAAAAAAATTGGAAATGGCCAGTTAGAAAATAAAATTAAACGTAATTAATTTGAACTTATGACATAAGAGGGCTACAAAAAATACTGAGGGTGCAGGAGTCCCCCCCACCCACGCACCCCTGCGTGAAGTTTTCCTACTTCTCAACTGAATTACTGTATACATTTATTTAAGCATACTACGATATCTTTCCAATTACGTTAATATTTCACCAAAAATTATTATTTTTTCTTCTTTTTCTTTCGGTCAAAAGATTTGTTTAAAATGTGGAATGGATGCTCACGGAAGACATTCACGCAGCTGGTGGAGGAAGTGCAGTGGCGGGTGAGACAGATGGAGGGTGGTGGCGGCAGCAGTGGGGAAGGAGACAACTACCAACTCCTTGCAAGCCTCGTCAAGAAGGACCCCGGCCTCGTCAGCCTCCTTAACCAGCAAGACTTCCACGCCTTTATCATCATCCTCAAGGTGGATGTAAAGGCCTGGGCGCCTCTGGGGTCCGTCTTGGCCGCCCTTTTGGAGAGTGACAGGGCCAAGGCTGATTGGTTGAGCCAGGAGGACGCTCAATTCCTAGGGGAGGAGGCTGCCACTAGCCTTTTGAAGGGTCTCTCCGTCAGCCTGCAGGCCGACCTTCTCTTCCTGAAGGAGTTCGTGCCGTCACCGACTGTGGACGAGGTGGTGGTTGTGATCAACGCGTCGCGGCTCTTGATCAAACAGACGGAGAACAACCTGTGGAGCGACGATGCTGTGGTCAGGAACTTGTGTACCTGCCTCGACATCCTACACAAGTGGCGCGTACCCCTCATCCAGGGAGTACCCAACTGGAGCGATTCACTCATGCGCTGGTGCAGAAGGTTCGAGCAGCCCCAACAGGCCTACCTAGTGTTGGAGAAGACTCTCGTTCTCCTGCAGGACTTCCTGGAAGGGGTTGAGCCAGGGGAAACGAGCCCTTGGCTGGTGCTACTGGTGGACGTGTTCCGTGGCGTGCGCGTCGCCTGGAGCCGCCCAGCCCAGCCCGGGAACCTTGTGTGTCTGGCGAACATCACGACGCTTCTCACACAAATCCTCAACACCCTCCCCGGCAGCGTCACGCCAGACTTCCAGAAGGCCTTCCTGGAGCAGCTGTTGCTCATGATAGACCTGACAGCAAGTGACGAGACGAGCACCTTTCTTCCCAGCAACACACTAGAGGTGGTAGCGGCATGTGTGTGTCGTCTTCTGGCCCAGGCTGACCCACAACAGTTGCTATGGGTAGTGAACACCTTCTCAACGCCCACCTTAGTGGTCCAGGCCGTGGACCAGACTCGTAAAAAGAACTGCGGGGAATGTTTCAACCTGGAGTTACGGGCCAGTATCGTGACAGAGCTGTTACGGGTGCTCAACCACTACTCCTTGGCTGTGTTCCTCATGACCGTGCGTAAGCTGGCCTCCACGAGCAACGTGCCACACCTGAAAGTGGTCTCCGGATGGTTCTGTAGTGTGGTGGCAGCCGGCGCCAGCCTCGATGCCTCAAGCTACTACACGACAGGCGAGGACGGCAGCGTGGCGTTCTTCATAGACCGCCTCATTCAACACTTTCAGAGTCAGCACGATATTCTCTACCTACAGGCCATCACCTTAGCCCTGGTGAGCAGCGAGCGGTCGAGGGAGTACGTGAGGGAGTCCCACAGCTTCTTCGATGCCCTCCAGCCTACAAAAATGGCCTCCAGTGCCACAAGGGGCGCCAGTGTCTTAGTGGCGTACAAATTCGCTCCCAGCAAAGTCTTCAGCACACTGCTGGGCGACAGTACCCTGGACGACATCTTGCACGATGTCCACGAATGTCTCACCAGCGAGCTGGAGGTCAGTCCCAGGTTCTTGGAGGTGTTGCGCTCGGTGGCACCCAACTTCCTAGAAGATCCTACCATCTTCTACCACGTCCCCATGTGACCCATTCCACAGCTCACACCTTCATCATTTTATATACAATAATTTTTTTCCCTAAATCCATATTTATTCTTAAGTATGACTTTCTGTAGGTCAAAACTATTGAAAATACACAGTTACAGGTCTGACAATCAACTCTCTTACTAGTAGAAGCGGGCTGAAGGTCGGGGGGGGTGGGGGTATACATATATATATATAGCCGTGGATTGCCAGTTCTCAAGTCAGTCGCGTTGATCCACTCGTGGTGGTGCAACGGGCCTGTGCTGGGTCCTCCGTGACACTGGGTGATATCAGGTCACACCCATCTTAGTGTTGAGTGACATAAATACCTTTGCCATATGACCTGTACTGTTGTCACGTAACATTTACCGTTTGTCGTGTGACATCTATCATCATTGTCATGTAACACTTACACACACACACACACATAGAGTGGAGTGGAGAACTGTGGTCACCAACTATGAGACATGAGGACGGTATACTCTGACTGAGCATATCTCGACTACGCCAGCTGGTTGTTGTTCAGAGCTGTGGTTCGAATCGTGCGTCATCAGCTGTAGTTCCATACGGGAATTAGATCGTCAGTCCGCCATAGGTTGTTCTAGCAGCAGGATTACACTGTGTGAGGTCGAACTGCTGTGTGAATTGAGATGTGACTTGGACTATTTGCTCCCGTGTGAACATTATGGGTTCCCAATACGAGGTGGAGTTCGTGGTGGGGATCTCGTGGTGTAGTGAGGCACCAACGTTGTGTTCAGCTGGACGGATTTGGCGACGTGGACTGGTGTGACTCACCCATCAGTTTTACTCCACACTTTTGAGGTAAGTGGTTAAATGGCTCTGATGTTAGTATTATATACCTTTGTGTACTTATGACCCTGACAAGGTTCATCTACCACTGGGTTATTAAACATCGTTCGCTCTTCTACACGTCAACAAACTAACTTTGAATATATTATGAAGCAAATGTGACCCGGTTCTCAATGTTTAACACAGAATGTAAAACAAACTATACTTATGTGTATAAAAACAAATATACTGTAAACATTCACCATAGGAGAATTTACTTATGTTTTCCAATAAATATAGATATATTTTGAAAATGAAAATTAATGTTTGGGAAATTCTTTTGTCAAAGAGAAGTGGTTAGCAGTCACTGAAGCTATATTCCCGAATTGAATCATTCCCGGTGCAGCTAATGTCTTCACTCGTCCAGGTTAGAAATAAAATACCTTAACGTTAAAAACATAAATAAGTGACATTTACTGCAGTGATCCAGTCAATTAATCTTTATTCCATATGCCTTGTTTATTTTTGTTACATAATTTACATAGATAAATGTTAAAATGGTATTAACTAGGGTACAAATATCCTACAGAACACGTGGCTATTATGCAGTTAAGCCTCCATTTACATAAGAACATAAGAATGGAGGAAACTGCAGCGGGCCTATTGGCCCATTCTGGGCAGTCCCATTTACACTCCTATTGCTCATATATCCATCCAACCTATGTTTGAAGCTATCCAGCGTATCCTCTACTCTTCCAAACCAATGTTTACCTATTTCACGCCTAAATCTAAATTTGTCTAATTTAAAATCAATGTTACGAGTTCACTCCTGGTTGGATAATTTGAGTACCTTTGTAATGTCCCCTTTGTTTAGCCCTGACTTCCATTTATACACCTTTAGTATATCGCCCTTCACTCTCCTTCTCTCGAGGGAGTGCAAATTAAGATGCTTTAACCTGTCTCTGTACTCAAGGTTCCTGATGCCCGGGATTAGTCTTGTCATTCTCCTCTGAATTTAACGAACATGAATCTTTAAGTGGCTATAGTCCGTTATATGGAGGTTCATATCTAACGCATCTCGATATAACGAACTGTACTATACGACTATCCCATATTCTCTGTTAAATAGAGGTTTCACACACACACACACATATATTTATATATATATATATATATATATATATATATATATATATATATATATATATATATATATATATATATATATATATATATATATATATATAAATATAACGGACTACACCCATTTAGTCCGTTAAATAGAAGTCTCACTGTATAAAGCAGGATGTAGTCGCTCAATGAAATTATGACACGAAGATAGAGATGAAGTCCTCGGCTGGCAGGCAGGGGGGAGACGCAACTAATGTCTTTCTTGGTAGATGGCAGAGGCTTTACCGCTGCGACAGGTGGACTTCCCCCAAGATTAATTAACCTAATATTTACAATGTTGCTGCCAGGTTGAGAGTGAGGGGAAAGGGGGGGATGTAAGGGGTGAGAGGAGAGTGGGACATAAGGGAAAGGGGAAATAAAGAGATAGGGAAGGTGTGTGTGTGACCCTATGACATTTGGTCAACACAGTACTGTACTATACTTCGTCTAGTCTGAAGGCGTGTTGCAAGCTTAAAGCGGTCTATGCATCACATTTATCAACCTTTGACTTTCTAAATCTTACAAAACATACCCTTCTAAAATAATCTTCTCCCTGACAAACATTACACGTAGAGAAACATGCCCCTAAGTTTCGTATAAATCACAGTAAGTCATACAAGCATTTTAATCTGCGTTTCTTCATCTTCATTCATGGTTGATTTACACTCGGGTGTCGCTGGGTGATCTCATGTGGTGAATTTATTTCCCAGAACGCACAAACATTCTGCTTTAGAGTTGGTTTGTACTGTTTTTTTTTCCTAGTTCCATCAAAATTTAATATAGTGTTAGATTTTTATAACCTGTGTGTATAGTTAAGCAATATTCAAACTAGAGACGAGATAGAACTCGAAAAAAATAAAGGTCAACTGCTTAGTCTTTACTAGGAAAAGTAAATGAGTCGCTAGTATTTAGAGGACCCTAGTAACAAGGTCTGAGCCAAACAGTGACCAGCCTTAACTTTAACTTCATCTAACGGATTATGAGGTAAACCCACAATAAATATTTTAATTCAAAACTACATCGAGGAACACAGAGAAATCGTCCCAAGGAAACAGGCGATGATGATGATATAGACACATAAACTTGGATAAGAAGAAATAGACAAAAATCTCTCTTAACGCGATGAAACACTGTATACCAGCCCACGCCACCATCATATTCCAGCTTGACCCGGGGCGAGATAGCCGTTTATAAACGTAGGCCGGAGGAAAAATGATTCTCTCGTTCAACCCGAGTGAGTATATTCACCACTCACTCACTGTCAACGTCACAGATCACTATAGAAATAAATAGAGGAATAGATAAATTAATTAAAACAGAAAAAATAAATATTGATATAAATGAACACAGTACTGTAGCTGCCAGGTGGTGAAGGTAATCGGTTGGGAGATGGTTCACCCTAGCTGCACCACCTGGCCACAATTTCCCGCCAAGGCTAAAAACAAATGCCTGGTTGTAAATCGGGACACCCAAGTTGACCTCAAAAACAAACACAACACGAAGAAGAAAACGGATGAAAAGGCAAATAACGCACAAACACTAATTATGCCAATACAGTCTACAAAGTATCGTACAAAAATATTCAGAACCTTTGTACAACTTTGAACACCAATCACTAAACATAATTATTAAAATAAAACGCCCAAACTCTTTTAACAAAACAGAAGGTTACATAAACAAACAATATATATTATACTGTAGTGGATTCCTCCCACACAAGCACCGAACCTTCTCGAATTCCCCACCCTACGCCTCCAGCGCCGCCCACGGAGTGGGGGTCAACTATCTACCCACGCCTACCCCCGCCTAATAAGGCCTGACACCGCTGTGACCAGTCTCTTTCTACACAGTGCCACCAGCAAGCAACACCTCCTCCTCCGCGCCAGCCTGGCGGCTGCCGTTCCCGCCAGCGACCTTGGCGTCCCTCAAGCCGCGTGTCCCTCCTCTGGGCACCCTCACCACCCAGCTCTCTCTACTCAACGCTTGTTACCATGCTACCTACCCAGCAACAAACTGCATTGTATATCCAATACAATATGTATACAGTGAGCACATTGTGAGTTTCCTTTCTCCATCCCATCCTGAGTGTGAACCAATATCTTATACCCCTACAAATGGTGACCCCCGGAGATTCGCACTCACACAGGATGGAGGAGAAACCGATCACTCTCCCAGTCTTCAAGCAACATGGAAGACTGGCTTACCCACGCAGAGGCAGCTCTCATCGGCTCTACAACTACTGTCTCTACACCGCAGGTTAGACACCCTAGAGCAGCTCTGCTACTCTAAGCAGACAGCCGCTCCTCTTCCTGCCCCAAGCACCACGTCCTACCGACCCCAACACACCCGTCCTGCCTCAGACGCCGCCTCCGGCCCAGCAGTACTCCCTGCCGCTCCTCCTGACGCGGCCCCTGCTCCTGACTCGGACCCACACACCCCTCTTTTCTCCGTCAGGTACCCCCTGCTACTGTCCTGCACCCTGTTGCTGTCGTGGACCCAGCTGCTGTCACGGACTCTCCTCCGCTCCTGCTGACGCAGACCCTGCTCCTGACCCAGGCCCACACAGATATTGTGTATCTAGACAGTTGTCTCCTCTAGCGGCCGGCTCATCCACACCCTCGCCGTTATGCCTCACATGTGGCATGCACCGCCCGTTCTGCCTCACATGTGCCATGCAACCCTGCAGACAACAAGTCTCCTACAACGCCTGGAGGGAAGGGGGAGTACTGTAGTGGATACCTCCCCTACAAACGCTGTTTGTCGCTGAGTAGCCGACCCAGCGAATTCCCCAGTGTATGCCTCGTGGTCTAGGTCAACCAGCGCCGCCTTACATGATGGAGGTCAACTATTAAGCCACACCTACCTCCGCTATATAAGATCTGACCTCGTGGTGACCTACCTCTCTTCTTCTAGCTACAGCCGCAGCAAGCAACACCACCTCCTCCGCCCCTGCCTGGCGGCCCTCGCTCCAGCCGGCGAGCATGGCGACCCACAAGCTGGTCCTCCTCTGAGCACCCTCACCAACCAGCTCTCTCTACTCAACGCTTGTAACCATGCTGCCTTCCCAGCACCAAGTTGCATTGTGCATCCAATACAATATGTATACAGAGAGCACATTGTAAGTTTCCTTTCTCCATCCCATCCTGAGTGTGAACCAATATCACGAAACCCCACAATACCACAACACAACAACGACGTGCCGGTGAAGCTCAGAGCGGTCAGTGTTGGCGGGAATTAATTTTACAGACTGGGGGACTTTATGGCCGAAACTGAGGGAGGAAGACTTCACTAAATTGGATGGCCCTGTAGAGGTCTGTTGCTTTGTATTGTATTCTACGAAAAGTACTGCCTTGGGGTGTTATAAATATGTAGTCATTACGGTATGGATTTAATATTATTTCGGTATATCTTTAATATTATTATTACCGGTATTATTAATGATGGTAGTAGTAGTGAAAAAGATCTAGGTGTATTTGTTAGCAACGACTTGAAACCTAGAAAACAATGTATTAGCGTTCGCAACAAGGCAAACAGGATTCTTGGGTTCATATCTAGGTCTGTGAGTAACAGAACTGCTGACGTTATCTTGAAACTTTACCTAGCATTAGTGAGGCCACACATGGATTATGCGGTTCAGTTGTGGTGTCCTTATTATAGAATGGACATAGATTCTTTGGAGAGAGTACAAAGAAGAATGACAAAAATGATCCATAATATTAGAAACCTTCCATATGAAGAAAGACTGAAAAGCTTAGGCTTACATTCATTAGAGAGGCGTAGAGTTAGGGGAGATATGATAGAGGTGTACAAGTGGGTAAGTGGGATTAACAAGGGTAAAATGGAAGATGTTCTGAAGCTCAGTA